AGAGAGTTTCACGGAGTTTTCTGCGTGGGCTGGCTTTGAATCGTGATCCTCAGATCTCAGCTTCCTGAGGAGCTAGGATGACAGGTGTGAGTCATCAGCGCTTTGCCTAACCTCTTCCTTTTTTTCTTTTTCTTTTTTTTTTTTTATTTGTGGGTCTTGGCTCTTGAAATCTGGGCCTGGGCGCTGTCCCTCAGCTCTTCAGCTCAAGGCTAGCACTCTACCACTTGAGCTACAGTGCCATTTCCAGCTTTTTCTGTGTATGTAGAACTGAGCAACTGAGGAATCCAACCCAGGGCTTCAAGTATACTAGACAAGCACTCTACTACTAAGCCCTGAAACTCTTATCTCTAACCACCCAAAAACCAGAAATGGAGCTGTGGCTCAAAGTGGTAGAGTGCTAGCCGTGAGCAAAAGAGCACAGAGACAGCATCCAGGCCTTGAGTTCAAGCCTCATGATTAAATAAGTAAATAAATAAATAAATAAATAGTTCCCTCTGGCAGGAAGAGCGGGGAACTGGGAGTGGGGGGGGGAGGGAACCCCAGGTCTGTTGACTCCTTTGCTATACATACTGGAGCTGTGCACCTGCACTGAGTGGACACCAGAGGGCGGTAGAGGGCAATGACAAAGGCCCTGGGACTGGGGCCGATGGGTCCCAGCTCTCTGATTGATGCTGCCTGGGCAGCAAGATGATTCTAGAGGATTCTAGAATAAAAGGAAATGGACAAATGAGAAGATGCTAAAAGGAAATTCCTACACTGCCTCTCCCTCCCCTCCCCTGCCATGGTTTGCACAAGATTCCAGTTTCTGCCAATTGCTGCTGGTTTGAAAGCAAAGGTTTCTTCCTTCAAAGGGAGATGGGGCCCTGGGTCAGTGACTCACGCCTGTAATCCCAGCTACTCAAGTGGCTGCAATCTGAGGATCACAGTTCAAAGCCAGCCCGGGCAGGAAAGTCTGTGAGACTGTTACCTCCAATGAACCACTAGAAAACTAGAAACGGTGCTGTGGCTCAAGTGATAAAATGCTTGCCTTGAGCTGAAGAGCTCAGGGAAGTGCCCAGGCCCAGAGTTCAAGCCCCATGACTGACAATAATAATAATAATTTGGTTTTCTGAAAGGAGTTTTCCAATGCATGGCCTATGAATTTTCTGTGCTAGGAAAGAAGTGGCCAAGTGTAATACCTTACCCTTGAAATCCAGCTTCTTAGGAAGCAAGTGTTGGGATGATCAAGGATTGAGCCAGTCTGGACAAAATTTTCGTAAGACCCCATCTCAACAAACAAGCCGAGTGTGGGTTTTCATATCTATCGTCCCAACTACACAGGGATAGGAAGAGCCAGATTCCAAAGCATTAAACTGTGTGCGAAGAAATAACAATAGAAGAAAAGTCAGGAGGTGTGACTCCTAGAGCACCTGCCTAGCAAGTACAAGGCCCGGAGTTCAAATCCCAGTCCCACCAAAGAGGGAAAAAAATTCAGATTAAAGGAAAAGGAGGAAGTGTGTTGGAGCATAACGACTTCTAGGAACTCAGTGTGTTTTGTGAATCTTGTCTTTCTTTCTCCCCCCTTGTCTTGTCTCCTTGCTCCCCTCCGGATCACGCTGGGGTCCCTACTTGCTCCTGTGGCGCGGTCGGCAGGCCGCTCCCAGAAGAGACAGGAATGGAACTGTTGGGTAGCCCGGTGGAGGACACATCCTGTAAGTTCTCACGCATGCGTGCACACGAGCGTCGGTGGCTGTACCCCGGCTGTAGAAATGTCAGCGGTCACCTGTGTGGTGGTGGGGCCGGGGGGGGGGGCACAGGAACTCAGGGACACAGTTGTTCTGCCTGCCAGCGTGCAGGGGAAGGAATATGGTCAGGGAGAGCCTAGAACATCTTGTCTTGCTGTGTGTGCCCTCAAGCTGGTTATTTAACCTCTCTGGGCTTCCAACTTCTTTTTTTTTTTTCTTTTTCTTTTTGTTGTTGGTGGTGGTGGCGGTCATGGGGCTTGAACTCTGGGCCTGGGTGCTGTCTCTCAGCTCTTCAGCTCAAGGCGAGTGCTCTACCACCTGAGCCACAGCGCCACTTCCGGCTTTTTTCTTATGTGGTGCTGAGGAATTGAACCCAGGGCCGCAGGCATGCAAGGCAAGCGCTCTACCACTGAGCCACCTTCCCAGCCCCATCCCTCCAACTTCTTATCCACCAAAGACAACTTCCTCAAAGAGGAAGCATGCAAGAATTAAATGAGATAGCGATACAGCATGCCCAGCCATAAGAGGGGGTGAGGTCAATCCAGCTAAATAAGTTCCAAGCCAACCCAGGCAGGAAAAGCCTGTGAGATGTTTTTTGTTTGTTTGTTTGTTTTGCTTTTGTCTTTGCAAGTCCTGGGGCTTGAACTCTGGGCCTGAGCACTGTCCCTGAGCTCTTCAGCTCAAGGCAAGTTCTCTACCACTTGAGCTACAGTGCCACTTCCAGCTTTTTGGTGCTTAATTGGAGAACAGGATCTCAGATTCTTAGACCAGGTTGGTTTTGAATTGTGGTCCTCAGATCTCAGCCTCCTGAGTAGCTTGGATTACAGGCGTGAGCCTCCAGTCCCATCATCCTGCTTACAGGCAGGATTTGAAGGCAGGGCTGCCCAGCCTGAGGGAGTGAAGCGAGTACCCGGAGGGAGTCCCAGAGCACCCCCTCCGGGCCCCCTCTCCACCCAGCCACACCCTGGGATGGGAGGAGGAGGCTCGTGACAGGGGCCTTGTGCCTTGGGCTCCCGTAGCTCCTCCCAGCACCCTGAATGTCCTCGGAGCCCATCGCAAGAGGAAGACGCTGGTGGCCCCCGAGATCAACATCTCCCTGGACCAGAGCGAGGGCTCCCTGCTGTCCGACGACTTCCTGGACACCCCCGATGACCTGGATATCAACGTGGACGACATCGAGACGCCTGACGAGACCGACTCGTTGGAGTTCTTGGGGAACGGCAATGAGTTAGAGTGGGAAGGTAGGAGCCCCCCCCCCGCAATCCAGCCCCCCCCCCGCCCAGCACTGCCCATCCCCACCTGGTCCCCAAATAAACATAAATAATATAGCAGACACATTGCTCTGCCAACGTGCAGGGGGCCTTTTGAGGCTGATGTTGAGAAATACATGCTGTCCGTGTATTGCCGGGATGAATATTTACACAAAATGAGTTCATCGATGGTGGAGTACCTCCTATAAAAGGAATCTTTGGGACTGGGAATGTGGCTCAGTGGTAGAGTGCTTGCCTTACATGCACGAGGCCCTGGGTTGGATTCCTCAGCACCACATAAGCAGAAAAAGCCAGAGGGGGCGCTGTGGCTCAAGTGGTAGAGCACCAGCCTTGAGCAAAAGCAGCTCTAGCGCGCTACCATTTGAGCCACAGCGCCCCCTCTGGCTTTTTCCCTGTATGTGGTACTGAGAATCGAGCCCAGGGCTTCATGCATGCTAGGCAAGCACTCTACCACTGAGCCACCTACACTTCCCTTAACAACTTCAGTCCAACCTGATGTGGTTAGCAAAGTGTCAAATAAGCTGTTGTTCAGCCTGTGGCCTGGGAGAGAGGCAATGAGGCGCTGCTCTCCTGGGGCCTCCAGATGATCACATTTGCTGGAAGGTCGTCTGTGTTAGCTGCTGCTTGGTGGGAGGACAGTGCCATCCTGGAAGGCTTCCTGGAGGAGGTGGCATTTGCGGCCCAAGCAGGGAAGCCAGGTGGCAGGTCTGCTGGCAGCCACACGTGTATGATCCCTTCCTCCTTCTCCTCCCTGGTTTGCTGACAGATGACACCCCCGTGGCCACTGCCAAGAACATGCCTGGAGACAGCGCGGATCTGTTTGGGGACGGGGCCGCGGAGGAGGGCAGCGCAGCCAATGGGCGCCTGTGGCGGACGGTGATCATTGGGGAACAAGAGCACCGGATCGACCTGCACATGATCCGGCCTTACATGAAGGTGCTCACCCACGGAGGTGAGTCCTCCCTGACTCCCGTCCGCCTCCCCGCCGCCCGGGCTTTGCCTGGACGCACCGAGAGCCAGCTTCTGTCTGCGGTCCGTAGCCTGCTAACCTGCCATCTTAACCCGGAGAAGGCCTGAGGGATAGGGATAAGGGAGGTGCCACGCAGAGAGGGCACTCTGCCCCCGCCAGGCTGGTGGACGGCCCTGAGCACGTGGGGTGGGAAGAGGCCGGCCAGCCGTGGGGGGACGCAGGGCGTGGTGCACCCTGGGGCAGCTCACAGCTGGGAGAGGACGCTGCCCACTGGTGCCCGGGGGACTGTGTCACCCACGGGCCTCCTGTCCCCAGGGTACTACGGAGAAGGCCTCAATGCCATCATTGTCTTCGCTGCCTGCTTCCTCCCGGACAGCAGCTCCCCAGACTACCACTACATCATGGAGAATCTCTTCCTGTGAGTCTCTTACCCACCCCGGAGTCCCGGGCAGCTGCCAGATGCCTGGCTGTGGGGGCTGGAGAGGCGCCGCTCAGTACCAAGGGATGTAGTGGCAGCCAGTACGGCTGGATCCCGAGGCCCTGCTGCCCGTGGACCGCCCTGTGCCTTTCATTCTGAGCCTTCATAGCCCTGTTGTGATTATTCCTTCACCACCATCATCACCATCACCCTTATCTCCATCATCTCCATCCTCCTCCTCCTCCTCCTCATCGCTGCCGCCACCATCAGTACCAGCGTTCATGTAGAAGACACCGCATGGCAGACACCAGGTGTGGTGTTTTCTGCCTGATCACCTACCATCTTTCCCACCACTGCATTGTTTCCGCTCCTCAGTTCAAAGGCTAGGCACACAGCACTTAAACCACTAAGTGCCTAAGGACTCTTAGTCGGATCAGATACAAATATAAGGATATATATATATACATATATATATATATATATATATATAGTCTGGCATGGTGGCACACACCTGTAATCCCGGCACTAGAGAGGCAGATGCAGAAGTTAAATGAGAGCAAGGCATAAGACAATTGACCTTTCACCACTATGCCCACAGATGTAGACTTGCAGTAGTCAGGGATTGTCCCTATGCTCCTCCCTCCCCGAGTGGACCAGACAAACCTGCCCAGGAGTGTCTGTAGCTGCACAGGTGTGTCTGGCCCGGTGGAAGGCACGGGTGGCAGGAGACAGGCAACTGTGACAGGTGTCCTGACCCTGGGTGCCTCCCCCTGGGGTCCTCACCGTTCTTATCCTGGACCAGGTATGTCATCAGCAGCCTGGAGCTGCTGGTGGCTGAGGATTACATGATCGTGTACCTGAACGGCGCCACCCCTCGGCGGAGGATGCCTGGCATTGGCTGGCTGAAGAAGTGTTACCAGATGATTGACAGGAGGTGAGCGGCAGCTGGGCGGTTTGCTGGGATTGTGGGGACCAGACGGCCTAAGGGCCTCCATGTAGTGTCACCGCACTCCCCAGGCTGGGCCTCAGCTCTGAGGAGGCTGGCCTTTCCCTCTCAGCGCTGGCTTCAGGGCCACGTGGCCACTGCTGGTCGCAGGGTCTTTAAGGACATCCCTTCATCTCTGCTCCCCTTTTCTTTTTTACCTTCTTTTCCCTCCCGCCCTCCTTCTCTCCCTTCCTCCCTCCTCTTCGTCCTTGTCTTAGGGCTTGAACTCAGGACCTGGGCACTGTCCCTGAGCTTTGTTGTTCAAGGCTAAAGCTCTATCCATTTGAGCCACAGCTCTGCTTCCCACGTTTTGGTGGTTCATTGCAGATAAGAGTCCCTCTGACTTTCCTTCCCCAGGCTGCCTTTGAACCACAACCTTCAGACCTCCTCTTCCCCCCTGAGGCATTGGTGCCCAGCTCTGCCCACCCCTCCTTCTTTATAAAGGACTGTCAGCCATCAGATTAGGGCCCACACGCCCCTAGTTTGTGGTCCGCTCACCACAGCTGTCACCACACTATGCTCAAAAGACACCACATGGGGCTGGGAAGGTGGTTAGTGGCCGAGTGCTTGCCTAGCATGCATGAAGCCCAGGGTTTGATTCCTCAGTACCACCTACACAGAAAAAGCCAAAGGGGGCGCTATGGCGCAAGTGGTAGAGTGCTAGCCTTGAGCCAAAGAAGCTCAGCGACAGCGCCCAGCCCTGAGTTCAAGCCCTAGGTCTGCCAAATACAAACAAAAAGATCACACTGTTTTGCTCACACAGTAGGTGACATTAAGTGTTCACCAGGCAGCCGTACCCCCCCCTTCCACCTCCAGAACCTTCCACCTCCCACACTGAAGCTCTCTCCCCATTTCCCATCCAACTTCTGGCCTCTCTCTTGCTGTGGGGCCTTGGGAACTCAGGCTGAGTCCCCTCCAGCCCATATTTGGGTTGGTGCATACGGGGTAAGGGAGGGATGCGGGGTCCAGGGCCCACCTCTACCCCTGCCCCTTCCTCCAGATAGATCCCCAGGGCTCGCCAGAGCAGCCCCTGGTGGCTACCCACCTTCCTCTTCCTCCCCACACAGACTGAGGAAGAATTTGAAGTCTCTGATGATCGTCCACCCCTCCTGGTTTATTCGGACCGTGTTGGCCATCTCTCGGCCTTTTATCAGGTGAGAGCAGGAGGCTGCCACCCAGGAGCCACCCCTGCTGGCGGACGCTCGCACACACATTCAAAACTGTCTAAAAATGCATCGCCAATGCCCGGCACGGGTGGCTCAACGCCTATCCTCCTAGCTACTCAGGAGGCTGAGATCTGAGGATCCTGGTTCAAAGCCAGCCCGGGCAGGAACATCCGTGAGACTCTTATCTCTAGTAAACCACTCAGAAAACCGCAAGTGGTGCTGTGGCTCAAGTGGTAGAGGCTAGCCTTGAGCCAAAGAAGCTCAGGACAGCACACAGGCCCTGAGTTCAAGCCCCAGGAGTGGCAAGAAAAAAAATAAAGCATCTCCAAGAGGGGTGGGGGCGTGTCCCCACATTGGGGGCGTGTTTATATAAAGGGGCGTGTCCATTTCGTGGGTGTGTCCACATGGCGTCATTGTCAGAGTGGTGGGCGTGTCTGCATGGTGGGGGCGTGCCTGATGCTATGGGCGTGTCCTGTGATGGGGCCTGTCTGGTGTTGAGCGTATCCCTCTGTGGTGGGCGTGTCCATGGAGTGGGGCGTGCCCCGGTGTGGTGGGCGTGTCTTGTGGTGGGGTGTGTTCTGCTGTGGTGGGCTGCCCCAGTCTGGTGGGCGTGTCCATGTGGGGTATGCCCTGGTGCTGTGGGCGTGTGCTGTGATAGGACAGGCCGATGTGTGTGGGCATGTCTCCCTGTGGTGGGCGTGTCCCATCATGGTAAGGCATGATAAGGCACTGCTGGTCGTGGGGCGGGCTCCGTTATGGGATATGGTTTGTTGGTAGGACATGGAGGGTCTGGCTCAATGGTACGGGGTGTGGATTGGCTCCTTTCGTTCCCTTTTTGGAAGTGTATTGGACATAATAATAGTGTCAACGACCTTCTGGTCTAGGCTGGCTTGGAACTGCGCTTCTCAGATCTTAGCTTCCTGAGTAGCCAGGATTATAGGTGAGGGCCACCGGCTCCCGGCTCCTAGGGACTTTTAATACTCTAGCAAGTCGTTTTTTTTGTTTTTGTTTTTTTGTTCTGTCAGTCGTGGGGCTTGAACTCAGGGCTTGGGTGCTGTCCCTCACTCAACTCTTCAGCTCAGGGCTGGCACTCTACCGCTTGAGCCACAGTGCCACTCCGGTTTTCTAATGGTTTATTGGAGATAAGAGTCTCACGGACTTTCCTGCCGGGGCTGGCTTTGAATCGTGATCCTCAGATCTCAGCCTCCTGAGTAGCTAGGATGACAGGTGTGAGCCACTGGCACCCAGCATCCTAGCATAGTTGTTATCATGCACATCACCTACCAGTGCATAATATGCAAAGCATAAATTCATTTGCACAGAGTACTTATTTGCATATTGAGCAGTTTAATTAGTGATGTATTTGCCTGGATAAAGCAATGAACATGCACTTTGGTCTAAGAGAGCTGTATTTTGTCCTCAATTCCTAACTGGGTGTCATAACATTGCCTTGATTGCACCGGAGATCATTGGGAGGGGATGGCGAGCAAACTTCTCCATCTGAAGTGGAAGGAGAGGGTAGAAGCTGAGCCACCTGGGGCCTGTGCCTGTTGCTACAGGCCTGTCCTTGATGGGGCGTGCCTGGTGTTTGTGGGTGTGCCCCACGGTGGTGGGCGTGTCCTGCCATGGGGCGTGCCTTAGTGTTGTGTAACCAACTTCAGCCCGGCCCATAGCCCCCAGCGAGACAGAAAGCCCCATCCACCGGAAGGACAGCCTGGCTTCATGACTTGGGCCTGATTTTCTTTGTTGGTATCGGGGCTTGAACTCAGGACCTCTTGCTCTTGCTCAGTTTTTACTCATTCATGCCTGGTGCTCTACCGCCTGAGCCATGCTGGACAGGGAGGAGCCACTCCAAAGCCCTTCTTCCTTCCTTTAAACCAGATCCACAGCCCAGCAGGTGGCCATGTTCCATTGGCCCTTCTTTGCCAGGATTCTTTGGGGGTGGAATCTGGGGTCTACTCTGCACCCCAGGAGGAGGTGGGCATCCAGAGGGGGCATTGGGGCAAGGTGGGGGGGGTGTAAGCCAGTGGACCTGGTGTGTGTGTGGTCAGTCACTTGGGGACCGGTGGTGGCCGCCAGGGGGCATCCTTCTGATCCTCTCTCCTCACTCTCCTGCAGCGTCAAGTTCATCAGTAAGATCCAGTATGTCCAGAGTCTGGAGGAGCTGGAGCACCTCATCCCCATGGAGCATGTGCAAATCCCGGAATGTGTGCTGCAGTGAGGACCCCCCCCCACTCTCCCCCCCCTGCACCAGAGCCGGGCCTCACCTCCCAAAGGGAAGGAAGTCCCCCTCAGTGTCTACCCCAAGCTCTCCCCTCTCTTTCAGGTATGAAGAGGAGCGCCTGCGTGCCAGGAGGGAGAGGTCAGTGCTGATCTGTGAGGGCTGCAGGGGTGGGGGGGAGGGAAGGGGGAGGGG